GAGTTGAAGAAACAGAACACTAGGGAAACATTTTACCCTCCGGATTTTACTACGATTTTTTTGTTGTTGTTGGTTTCGCTCAGTATAAGATCTTTGCTCTGAAAGCCTAGATGAGCCCCTTTGACAATTTTGACTTTCTAATCATTCAGTTTGCTACATTTTTAACTACAGGGAATCCCTGATTTTTAATATATTCAAGTTACATTATAACCATCCATTTTATGTTTTTGATTCATCTTATCATTAGTCACATGTACTGCATATAGTGTTACAATGCATAAAATGCTGTTGACACCATTCTCAGATGTAATGTTTCTAGCCTTCAAAGGTAAATAAAGATCAGAATCATGATGGTACTGATAATAAAAGACAATAATAATGTGTGGGGAAAACCCGAGGTATTCAACTTACATCGGAATTGACTTCTGACAGAGTAGTCATTAGAATGGAACCCTATTATAAGTCAGGGACTGTTATAATGAATTTCTATTTTATAATGAGAAACTCTTTCCATTTGGGGGAAGAGATTAGAATCCATAAGATAAATCAGCGAACTAGTGGGATACAGATCTATAAGTCCTATAGAGAGAAAACTAGCAAAAAATATTAAATGGCGAACGTTTATTTCATGTTAAGGAATAAGATAATTTCCTATATGAGTTTTTCTTAGACTCATTTATAAATTTGATTTCTCAGAGCTTTTCTTTCTGAACGAATGGGAAAGAGAAAATGAGGAGTAACTTAAAAAAAAAAATCTGTAAATTAATTTTAAATAGTTTTTGGAAAAAGCAAAGAGGCAGGTGTTTGTCGTATCAGTATGTGAACAAAGGCCATAATGTTTCTATAATAAGGGTGTGATTTTGACATATAGACTAATTGAATAGAAGCAACTGTATAAGAATTTGGCATCATATATGTTGTTAGGTGCTGTCGAGCCTGTTCTGGCCCATAGTGACCCCAGGCACAACAGAACCAAACACCACCTGGTTCTGCACCATCTTCACAGTTGCTGTTGTTGCTGCCACTGTGCCAGTCCAGCTCATTAGGGATTTCCCTCTTTTTTGCTGACCCTCCACTTTATTAAGTGTGATGTCCTTCTCCAGGTACTGGTCCCTCCTGACAACAAGTCCAGCATATGAGAGGCCAAGTCTGGCTATCTTGGCTTCAAAGGAGCATTCTGGTTACACTTCTTTCAACACAGATTATTTGTTCTTCTGGGAGTCCGTGATACCTGTAATCTTCTCTAACACCACACTTAAATGTATCAATTCTTCTACCCGCTTCCTTAGTTAGTGTCAACCTTCCCATGCATATGAGGCTATTGAAAATACCATAGTTTGGGTTAGGTGCCCTTTTTTTTTGGCAATTTATTCTTTTTATTAGGTTTCTTTCACTCAGCATAACTATAATAAAATTCATCCATGTGGTCATTGAAAATGTTTTTTGTGTTTTCAAGTTTTTATTGTGAACTGAGTGATAGTTTACATGGGAGAACACCAGCTCTACACCATCGTTTTATTTCAATGATTACAATCTCCTCTGTGCATCATCATTCAACAGTATTTGCTTCCATACCCTGTTCTGTTTTTTGGTGTGGGAAAGGGATGTACACAAAAACACTCAAGAATATATAATAATTTAAACCAAAGGGCACATTCTGCAAACCTGCCTCCTGGTGGTCAGGTGTCCTTTTGTCTTCAAACTTACATACGTCCTTGCTGCTCAACACTTTAAAAGGGTCTTTTTTAGCAGATTTGCCTTATGCAGTACATCGTTTCATTTCTTGACTGCTGCTTCAATGAATGTTGTTGGTGGATCCAAACAAAATGAAGCCTTTGACAACTTCGGTCTTTTCTTCATTTATCATTATGTTATTTATTGGTCCAGTGGTGAGAATTTTGTTTTCTTAACGTTACGGTGCAACCCATACCAAAGGCTATGTTCTTTGATCTTCATCAGGTAAGTGTTTAAGGTCTCTTCATTTTCAGCAAGCAAGGTTGTAACACCTGCATATCGCAGGTTGTTAATGAGTCTTCCTGCATTCTCAATGCCGTGGTCTTCTTCATATAATCCAGCAGTTCAAATTATTTGCTCAGCATACAGATTGAATAAGTATGGTGAAAGAATACAAGCCTAGTGCACACATTTCCGTATTTTTTAAACCACTCACTGTCCCCTTGTTCTGTTCAAATGACTGCCTCTCCAACTCATAGCAATCCTGTATAGGGTTTCCAGGGAGTAGCTAGTGGGTTTGAACCGCAGACCCTATGGTTATCAGTCCAGTTCTTATCCTATAGCACCACACCAGGACCCACATCATATATGAGGGTGAGTCAAAAATTATCTGCACGCTGGTTATATTAAGTCGCTCGTCTATGTCCACGGCTGACGAGAACACTGGGCATGCATGTGAAGTGATTATGTCAAATAGATGAGTGATAATGGATTATGTGCAAAATATTTGCAAATCAACCATGGCTCTGCCTATGAAATAATCTGCAAAAGATTTGGATTTCCAAAAGTTTGTATGAGATGGATACCAAAACAACTCAAGCAAGAGCATAAACAGAAATGTTTAGAGATTTGCAAACAAAATTTGGACTGATACTTGAAGGAAGTAAAAGTTTATTTAAAAAAAAAAAAAAAAAGATTACTGCTAATGAGACATGGATTCATCCCTACGATCCTGAGAGTAAACGGCAGAGTATGGAATGGAAACCCTCAATCACCGACCAAGAGAAAGTTCAAAAGTTAACCACCTGTTGGAAAATTGATGCTTAGAGTTTTCCCGGATACTCCAGGGCGAGTATTGAAATGCTTTCAGGGAAAAAAGGTTCAACAGTCAACGGTGCTCATTACAGTGAGATGCTTACTGAAGAGCTGAAGCCTAAACTTCAGATTAAATGCAGAGGACTGCTACCCAAGGGTGTTGTGATCTTGTATGACAATGAATATCCTCACACCTCTGCTACACTGTTGATACTCTGTAAAAACTTTTTTTTGAGTTGTTAAGAGCATCCTTCCTATATTTGGACTTTCAGCTGTTTGGTCCCCTGAAAGCATCCTCAATACAAGCCCTTTGAGGATGAAGATTCACTTCCAATGAACAAGTGAAGACAGTGGTGCATTTATGGCTTGCAGCTTAGCCTAAAACATTTTTTAATAAGAGAGTATGAAAGCTTGTTGACAGATGGACAAAGTGTTTGAAGCGTAAGGGGATTATGTCAAAAAATTATGTATCTATTCTAAAAGTTGATTAAAATAAACTCTATAGCTGTAATACAGATAATATTTGATTCACCCTCATATATCAGTGGGGTGGGAAACAAATCTACTTCTATTGAGTCGATTTTGACTCCTACCGACCATATATAGGATTTCAGAGACTGTAAATCTTTAGAAACAGACAACCTCATCTTTTTAACATTGAGTAGCTGGTGGGTTTGAACTGCCAACCTCGTGGTTAGTAGTACAGTGCTTATCCTACAGCAACACCAGGGCTGAGTCTGTGCTCACAATAAATTCTATGTGGATTGAAATTAATTGTGAAATAGAAGTCATTTAAGTTAGAAATAATTAGTTATTTATTTAATGGCCTAGGGGAAAGGAATTTATAAGCATGAAAATATAGTGATAAAAGTTACTGTTTCATTATTTTTAATAATCTAAGAGTTGAGAACATACTCAATACAAGTGACCACAAATACAGTTGACAGGTAAGTGGGTGGTAAAATTAGAAAAATATTTCCAATAAATAAGCATAGACACACATACATTCATGTATACACACATCTGTTGGAGTGGGGGTCCGAGATTACCAGTGGTCATTAGCCATTTCAGGATAAGAATCTGAGTAACTGATAGGGACCACAGTAACTGATATATGGACCATATATGGCACACACTTATATGAGGGGGCTTCAACAAATTCATGGAAAAATTCCATTATCTTCCCCTCCCCCATTATCTTTTCATTCCATTGTTCCAGGGACTTTTTGAAACCCCCTCGTACAATGCCAATAATTTTCCAAACAATTTTTAGAGACTCACATGTTGTTAAGTGCTGTCAAGTTGGTTCCGACCCATAGTGACCCTGAACAGGGTTTCCAAGGCTGTAAATCTTTATAGGAGCATAAAGACTCATCTTTCTCCCGTGAAGCAGCTGGTAGTTTCGAACTGCTGACCTTGCAGTTCGCAGCCCGATTCGTAACCACTATGCTACCAGAGCTCCTTAACTAAGAGCATATGGACCACAAAAGAAGTGCCTGATAAATGTGAGTCAACTTCACCCTCCTTATTTATCAAAATGATAATATTTAATATTGGTGAAAATATTGCTAGTGGAATATATATTAGATAAACCTCCCAAGAATGCTATCTGGATTTAAAAGTATCAGATTCTTTTATTTCAAAATTATATTTCTAGTAAATATTTTAAGACACATCAGAACCTCAGACAAATTTATATGCAAGGATGATCATTATGTATTAGAATGATAAATATTATTTGTAATAGCAAAATATTGAAAACAGACTAAATTTTTAACTGTAGTGTAATATCTACATAAATCATGGTGTGACTCTGTAATAGAATATCATGGAGGCTTTATAAGTAATGCTTTTAAGGACTATTTTATATGTAAGAAAATTTCTGTTGAATGAAAAAGAAAAAACCCAAAGATGTTTGTTTAAAACTTGTTTTTAGGTGATGGGATTATTGGTAATTTTAGCTTCTAAATCACCTTTTTTTGGTGTTAACTTGCTTTTCTACTATGACATATGTTCATTTTATAATTAAAATACTTATTTAAAATGCAAGTTTTTCTGTTGTATAATTTTAAAGAAATTTTACTTAAAAACCAGTGAACTGACAGTGATTTGGCACTCATATAAATGCATGTTTTGAAGTTTTTAAGTTGTTATTCAATAAATTTTATTTAAACCCATGTTGAATTAAGGCAAGTGATTAATTTTTGAATAATTTTTCCTTCTCCTAATAGAAGTGGAAGACTTGTTCTCTTCACTTAAACACATCCAACATACTTTAGTAGATTCTCAGAGCCAAGAGGATATTTCACTGCTTTTACAACTTGTACAAATTAAAGATTTCCAGAATGCATTTAAGATACACAACGCTGTCACAGTACATATGAACAAGGCCAGTCCTCCATTCCCTCTTATCGCCAGTGCACAAGGTCTTGTACAAGAGGTATGTATTCAGCACATCTTGTGGCATCTATAAGGTAATTATTAGCAATAGTAAGACAATAGGATTGGAAAACACTGATGTAACTACAAAGCTTGTTTGAATAAATTACTACAGATCACATGTTAATAATTTATTGTCATTTAAAAAATTTGCTGCATTTATTTTATCCTGAAAACTACATATACTTTTACAAAGAAAAAATTGTGAACTTGAACCTTATAAAATGAAATTTTGTTAATTTGATTGTCCAAAGACACCTTGGTTGTTGTTGTTGATTGCTGTCAAGTCAGTTCTGACTCCTAGCGACCTTGTATAGGGGTTTCCAAGGAGTGGCAGATGAATTTGAACCACCAACCTTTTGGTTCAAACCAACCTTGCAATCCAGTGCTTCATCCCACAGCACCACACCCAGACACCTTTAAGAGAATAAAAAGGCAAGATGACAGATCAGGAATGATAGTTGATTCTTGATTTTGAGATATTGAGGCATATGTGTATGTCTAACAATATATGTATATATATGTGTGTGTGTGTGCTGGGGGCTTCAAAAGGGTTGTGGGAAAATTCCATTATCTTTTAATTCCATTTATCTACAAACTTTTTAAAGCTTCCTTGTATTAAAAACTCTTGTGAATTAGTAAGGTAAAGACTTATGAGTTAAAACAAAAAGAAGGTAAAGACTTGAACACAAATGTTCAAAGCAGCCATGGACATGAAAATAACCCAGATATCCATTAGTTAAAGAAGAATTAAACTATCACTGTGGAGAGTAAACAATCACAGACTAATGAGAAATGCTATGATGGTGTTATGGGAAATGTACCAAGAGCACAGTGAGATGCGGCTAATTCTGTGTAGGTTAGGGATGGTGGAAGGAAAGTAACAGAGAAGAAAATTTAATAGAGGAATTTCATTTGCTGAGTCTCAAAGGTTGATGAGAATTTACTAGTAAGACCAAGAAAGAGGAGAAGGCATTTCATTGGCAAAGGATACAAAACTGGTTGTTGTTAAGTGTTGTTGAGTTAGTTTTGCCTCATAGTGATCCTGTGTTTGGACTTTTAGCCCCTTAAACTATAAGAAAGGAAATTTCTATTCATTAAAGCTACCCATTTATGGTATTTCTGGTATAGCAGCACTGGATAACTAAGATAAGCAATTATTATCTAGGCAAATTGCTGTTGTGGTTGTTAGATCCCCTGAGGTTGGCTCTGAATCATAGCAACTGTATATGAGGTGACTCCAAAATTCTCATGAAGAAATGAAATAGATAAATGGAATTTTGTAGAAAATTTTTTTGAAGCCCTTAGTGTATTACAAAACAAAACATAGCCTTATCCTGTATCTTCACAATAGTAGCTACGTTTGAGCCCATGTTGGGCACACTGTGTCGTTCCATCTCATTGAGGGTCTTATAGTCACATCTCAGATTCTAGATTTCTCTGATTTGCTTTCTCTCTTTATAAACTTGCCATTTCTCAATGTTTCATCTAAATGGAATTAGATAATATGCAATTTTTTGTTCAACATCATTTTGAGATTCATCCAATGTGCTAAACACATTGTATTGTTGTTGTTGTTAGGTGCCATCGAGTCTGTACCGACCCATAGCAACCTTATGCACAGCAGAACAAAATACTGCGTTGTATAAATATCCAAAATTTGTATATCAATGGATATCTGTTGACAGATATTTGGGTTACTTCCTTTTTGAAATATTCTGAATTGAAGCTCCTATAAACATTTGTGTACAAGTCCTTTTGTGAACACATTCTCATTTCTCTTGGATTAATACCCAAGAATGGAATTGTTGAATCATATGATGAGTATATCTTATAAAAAGCTGCCAATTTTTTTCCAAAGTGTGTATAACCATTTTGTATTCCCATGAGTAATGTATGAGGGTTCTAGTTGTTCCACATTTCTACCAACATTTGGCATTATCAGTTTAATTATTGATGTTGAACATTTCTTTCATTTGTTAATTTGCCAATCCTTTATCTTTTTCAGTGAAATCTTTTCCCATCTAAAAAATCACTTAGTCTGAGTTGTAAACCACTGTATGTTCTGGTTGCAAGTCCTTTGTCAGATAACAGATATAGTAATGGTGAATATTTTGGTTAAAAATAAGCATAGAAATAAAGGAAGAATATATAACAAAGGGATTATCCCTAGATTTGGAGATTATGATCATTTTTACTTCCTTCTTGTTGATAACCTTTTATGATTTTTTACATGCAATAAACCGCTTCTGTAAATTAAAAAAAAAAAAATTAGCATAAAAATTTAGAACGACTGGTCCTGTAGGAGGATAGGGGAAAATAGTATAACTAGAGAAGAGTACAAGATCAAAATACAATATTTTCTTTTAAAATAAGAAATTTGAACATTACTATAGATAGTCTTGTCATCCTGGCTTCTGAGGAACATTCTGGCTGTACTTCTTCCAATGCACATTTGTTGGTTCTTCTGGAAGTCCATGGTACTTTCCGTATTCTTCTCTAACACTATAACTCAAATGCATTAATCCCTCTACAGTCTTCCATATTCATTGTTCAACTTTCACATGCATATGAAGCTATTGAAAATACCATGGCTTGGGCCAGTGCACATTAGTCCTCAAACTAGCATCTTTGCTATTGATACCATTTGTTTTCTTGAATGGAAGGCATGATGAATCAAAGAGCATTTCTGAAATTTTGTTATGAGATACAGCTCTTGATACCTATTAAATGAGACCCAGTGTCCCTCTGGGGGTGTGATTATGTAGGGCACATCTGTCCTGGGCTGTGCACCACCATCTGTATCCCTTGACAGGTGCATATAGTCTGTTGTTAAGTGCCATCAAGTTGGTTCCATCTCATAGCAACCTGTTTAAGGTTTCTGAAGCTGTAAATCTTGGCAGGAGCAGAAAGCCTCATCTTTCTCCCATGAAGTAGCTGATGGGCTTGAACCGCTGACTTTTGTAATTTATAGTCCAGTACTATCCTACAAAGCCACCATGCTCCCAACATATAGTTGTTGGGGCACCTGAAAACGCGATGTTCCAGTGAACGTGGAACCATTGCAAGAATGGTAACTTCCAGATAACATTCAAGCCCCTATGCCATCAACATGATTCTGACTCATAGGGAACCTGTATAGGGTAATATTTATGTGAGCAGAAAGCTTCATCTTTCTCCCACTGAGCAGCTGGTGGATTTGAACTGCTGACCCTGGGGTTAGCAGTCCAGTGCTTATCCTACAGTGCAACCAGGGCTCCTTAAATAACATACGGGAAACTTAAGTTTATAGTTCTGTTTGTTGTTGTTAGGTGCCATCGAGTCAGTACTGACTCATAGCGACCTTATAGACAACAGAACGAAACACTGCCCAAGCCTGGGCCAGCCTCACAATTGTTGCTACGCATGAGCCTATTGATGCTTCCATTTTGCCAATCCATCTCGCTGGGGGTCTTCCTCTTTTTCTCTGACCCTCTACCTTACCAAATATGGTCTCCTCCAGCGACTGGTCCCTCCTGACAATATGTCCGAAGTATGAGAGACGAAGTTCTATTACCCTCATATAATTTATCTTGTTAGCCTATAATGCTTAAGTTATTTCTGATATAAAATATAAATATTATAAAACTATCAAAGTAAAAAATAGTAAGATGACTGTTAAATAGTTTTTCTTTCCTTATGCTTCTGTTCTCTATATTTCCTTATATTTTTATTACTTACTGTATTACTAGTACAGTATGAAATAAAGCATCCTTAGTTAATTTGGAAACCTGGTGTGGCTCTGTGGGATAAGTACTGGCCTGCTGACCACAAGGTCTGTGATTTAAACCATCCAGCTGCTCTTCAGAAACCCTGTATGAGAGGACACTTAATAACAATAATATGTTGGGTGAAACTTTCAGGAAGAAAATAATTTCATTCATAGGCTTAAATATCAAAATTCTTACCTAGTATCTTAAATAAGGAATTCTGTTAACTGTGATAATAAGATTGAACACTGTAGAAAAAATACTTTTTTATTATATTAACCTGTATAAGTACTGCTGATGATTTTTTGATCTAGGAAGAATAATATTTATTGTTATTTCTTAGGTACAAACTATTTTGAAGCCAATCCATCAGAAGGAAGGGCAAGAATTATCTACTTTGCTGAATGCCCCACATGTTCAGGTAGAAAATGGACAGAGCATTATAGAATTTTTCTAGTGTTTGTCTTTGAAAAACAAAATCAGACTAGCATGTTTTGATGTTTTCAGCTGCCTCTGCAAAATAATTCTTGTTGGCTAGTATATTTTTTATATTTAATATTAACCAAATTATTTGTGCAACAGCTTTTAATTCTTTAAAATTGGACAAAATTTCTCTTTCGTTTTTTTTGTTATAATGTACTTTCCATAAAATTTAAATTATGTAGTATTTGTGTTAAGCACTTAAGTATTTTAGATTTTCATAACTCATTCTAGTGTATACCCTAGCAAGCCTAACACATTTATGAATTGTGAAAGATGTAGGATTACATCTGAACTTAAGATGAAAAATTTGGCAACACATTTGGATAAATCACATGTCTTTTAAAGATTTAGTGATCAGAATATGATGTACACAATTAGGTTTAAAATCACTGTCAATAAATAGATTGTGCTGTTACTTACAGTGCTATTCATTTCTTTGAAACAGGCACTTTTACTGGCTCATGATAAGGTTGCTGAGCAGGAAATGCAGCTAGAGCCCATTACAGATGAAAGAGTGTATGAAAGCATTGGCCAGTATGGAGCAGAAACTGTAAAAATAGTTCGTATTGAAAAGGCTCGTGATATTCCATTGGTAAGTGCTCCACATCTCTAATCTGAGATTCTTTCTATACATGGGATCTTGTATATAACAGAGTTGAAGACTCCATTGCATTGCTGGTGATATTTTCTCTTTTGAGGTTCATTTGTTGCAGTCATTTTATATTCCTAATTATACCTCTTATTTGGTTGTGAAAAGTTTGTTTATCATCTTTTCTCACCTATATGATGGAAATAATAACTTGTGAAATAATTGATGAAGTACAAAAGGATTTGTAGTATATTTGATTCTTCTCTAAGCTTATTTTTCTTAACAATAGTTAGAAATTCTGATCTTCTTTTTCAATTAAATTCATTGGAACATAATTATTTACATACTTCTGATATTCTTAGAAGTATATATTCCTTAATGTTTATATTTGCTTTATAGTTTTTATATTTAAACTTTTATTTTTACTTTCTTTTATTTAGACTTCTATTAGTCCTGTTGTAGGAGAAGCATGAGACTAGTAACTACAATGTCAGCAATTCAAACCCATCAGTCACCCCTAGGAAACCCTAAACACAGGGTCGCTATGAGTCTAAACTGACTCGATGGCACCTAACACCAACAACAGATGAGTGCTTTGGGGAGCATGGTGACTCTGTAGGAAAAGTACTAGACTGCTAACCACAAGATTGGCAGTTTGAGCCCTTCAGCTACTCCAAGAGAGAAAGATGAGGCTTTCTGCTCCCACAAAGATTTACAGATTCAGAAACCCTATATAGGGTCCCTTTGGAACAGACTCAACAGCACTAAACAATAATAACATCAGTATCTTAGTTTTTCTCCCTTTATTTTCAGAAAAAGTCATGAATCCTGATGTCTCAATTTTTGCCTTATATGTATGAGATACGAGCTCTTTTATAGGCAATTCATAAAAATTTTTTCCTCCTAGGAAAAGGAATGGCAAGTCATGACAAACTTCTCAAATAAAGTTTTATTCTGTGAGTCATAGTTCCAAATTTTGAGCATACATTTTTCACTTGGGCTTCCAATTTGTGTGATAAATATTATAATGTTTAATATTAATAAATACTACATTTTAAGGTGAAAAGAAGACTTTAATAGCTATAAGTTATGGCCACTGATTATGTCTCAATGTAATGTAACCATTTGAACAGCTTCCAATATACAAAGAACAAATTTGATTATAGGTCTTCACACATTGTTTTTAAGTCGGTGCATTTTTCTGCTGTTGTTTCTTTCCTTCAGAAGTCTGCTTGATTTCAAGATTCTATGAATAGAGTGTTTCTTAAGCAGGAAATGTGTAGGCAATGGTCAGCTTTGAAATCTTAATTACTGTGATTACTCTAGTCATATCATTACTTCCCCCCCCCCAAGATAGCCAAAGGTTGGTATTGTTGAATATATAAATAGAAAAAATAAGAATCTAAATGTTTTTCAAATGTATTTTTATTTTAAACTTGATTTTTTTTAGGGTGCTACAGTGCGTAATGAAATGGATTCTGTCATCATTAGTCGAATAGTCAAAGGAGGTGCTGCTGAGAAAAGTGGCCTATTACATGAGGGAGATGAAGTTCTGGAGATAAATGGCATTGAAATTCGGGGGAAAGATGTCAATGAAGTCTTTGACATATTGGTAAGTTGACACAAGTGGAAAATCATTGATAGGATCTTTAAAATTTGTTTTTTGTTGTTAGATGTGGAAATACAGTATTTTTGTAAAATTGTGAAAAGCACTAGATAATTTCTAGCCTAATTTTTACATTATGTGTTGTACATTGTTAGTAGATATTTTTATTTCTGGATGGATGTCACTAGTGTTTTTTAGTTTATTTGAGCCTTATCACCACCAACTATTTTGTCTCTGAAATCAGTAATAGTGTAACTTAGTAATTTATTAAACAAGTATTTATTAATGCCTAAGGTGGGATGGTCAGAAAAAAAGAGGAAGACCCCCAGCAGATGGATTGGCCAAGTGGCAGCATCAGTGCACTCAAGCGTAGCAACAATAGTGAGGTTGGCCCAAGGTTGGGCAGTGTTTCATTCTGCTGTGCATAAGGTCGCTATGCGTTATTACCGACTTGATGGCACCTAATAACAACAACATGTGCTAGCCACTGGGGAATTATTTACAAAACAAAGTCTCATGCCCTTATGGTTTTTATGTTAATTTTGTTTTCTTATTATCTATGAATGAATGCATGCTGTTTCCATAACAATATTAGTCAGTATGGGTGGTATAAACCTGTGCTGTCTACTATAGTAGCAACTAATCACATGTGGTTATTTAAGTTTGTTAGGTGAAATTAAAGATTTAGTTCCTCATTCATAATAACTGCATTTCAAGTGCCCAAAAGCTGTATGTAGTTAATGGTTGCCATATTGGACAGCATAGATAAAGAACATTTTTAGCGTTCTAAAAAGTTCTATTAGACACTTCTGATATAATCAGGAAGTCATTAAAAGTCAGGTTTTGAGGACAAGATATGATAACTTTTTATACACCCAAGGGTATCAAATTTATATTCTTAATTGCTTAGTATCAGTTTTTACATTAGTATTCTCTTGTCTGCTGTTATCTGTTGTGGAATTTACTCTCAACTCCTTATTCAGGAAGCAGTGTACTAGAAAATAACAGTGAACCTACCAGTCAGGTTCTGTGTAGCTAAAAATAGACTGGGTGACTGACACATTCTGGAAAGTGAGACTATTTGCATGTTTGTATTTTTAGATCTTTTTTCTAGTCCTCATCACAATTACTATTTTTAGCTCAGTATTAACATTTTTGTATATTAGAGTAAGTAACCCATAATTATTATATCACTTGTATCCTCTAACCGTTCACTGTCACATCGTCCTAGCTAGACACTGAATAGAAGACAAAATCTAAGACTTAATGGACTAAGTATCTTTCCCCAGAATGCCAGGACAGTTCTAATACAATAGAATCTGAGAAAATTATAATTTGTGCTTCTAATGAAATGGGATTCATATTTACTAATTTTGTTTTAAGTATGAAGTGTTCTTGAATAGTCTTGTTTGGGAAATGTTAATTATAAGATCATGAAAAGTTTTTCATAAATAATAATTTTTTTAAATAACCAAGTCATTCTATTACAGTCTGATATGCATGGAACTTTGACATTTGTTCTGATACCCAGTCAACATATCAAGCCACCTCCTGCCAAGGAAACAGTTGTAAGTAATTGTGTTCTAATGTTTGTTGTCTCTTAGCTACTGTTAACTTTAGAGCAATGTCACTCTAACTATTTGTTACACTTAAGTGAAAATAGCTAAATTCTGTAGGTTTGATATAAATAAATGTGAAATAATTCAAACTTAGTAAACTATGAACCTGTTCTAAATAAAAAGTAGGAAATGCAGTTTTGGAATTTTTATGATTTCTAATGTGGGACTTTATCTTTTTCTATAGTCGTAGGTGGGCTCATTTAACTTTTAACAACATTTGGTCTGGAGGGCAGCACTTCTACAAAATATTTTAGTGTGTATATTAACAGTTACTGTAATTAAGAAGGTAGACTTTATTGTCATGTGATCCACTAACTCCACTCGTAATAATATGCTCAAGAGAACTGAAAATAAGTCAACATAAAAGCTTGTGCCTGGGTGTTTATAGCAACAATATTCATAATAATCAGAAAACAGAAACAACATTAACTGATGAATAGAAAACAAAATATGATATATCCATGCAATAGAGTAGTATTTGTCAGTAAAAAGGAATGAAGTACTGATATATTCTTTAACATAGATGAGCCTTGAAAACATTATTGCCCAGTGGAAGAAGCCTGTCACAAAGGCCATGTGTTGATTCATTTCTTAGAAATGTATAGAATAGGCACATCCATGAGAGAATGCTGTTGGCATTGTAGGATAAGCACTGGTCTGCTGACTACCAAGTGGGCAGTTCAAACCCACCAGCCGCTCCGCAGGAGAAAGATGAGGCTTTCTGCTCCTGTAAAGCCTCAGAAACCCCCTATGCAGGGTTGGTATGAGTTAGAAAAGTAAATTATTTATTCCTTAGGTGTGGGAGTAGGAGGTTAGGAGTGATTTTGCTAATGGGTATGGAGTTTGTTTTTGGCCAGATAAACTAAAGTTGACAGGGTAATAGCTGCACAATTCTGTGAATATACTAAACATCTTTGAATTCCGTATATTTAAAATGTTATTTGCATGACATGTAAATTACATCTCAGTAAAGCTATTAAAAAGTGATAGACTTCAAAGTGCTAGATTAATACGGAGGGCTGATGTGTTATATCTGTTATTTTTTTTAAATCATAACAATTTGAAAGAACATAGTTTCATTGTTTTCCCAATATTTCATCAGTTTTGCTTTATATTCCATGTTTCCCTCTTATTCTTAATGGAACATACTATAGTTCATGTTGCATCTACAACCTTCCGTCTGTTTACTGTTATTGTAGCACGAGGCATAGGGAAGTAAAGTTTGTCTCTGAATTCAAAAGGTCTGATTCTCCATGCACTATGCCTTTACATATATTTCTACTGTGAACAGGCCCTTAGCTTCAAATGTAGTGCTACAAATAAGGAGGTACAATAAAAGAGAGCTGGAATGCGCCTTTCGTTTTATATCTATAGTAATCTACTATTTCTGAGTGAATGATTTTTGTGTTTTGAGAATGAATGTCAGAGGTTATGGTATGTTTGTTGATATTTCTACTTTTCAGAATCTAGAATTCTCTAAAAGTCAGCTCTTTAATTAGTAAGGTGTTACGCTGATGTTTGCTCCTTGTTATTGTATATGAAATTAAAACATCATAGTAGTTAAATTAGAGCAAGAATACCTTTAATATAAGGATGAAATCACTTGCTTTTTACCCATATTTCCATGGGTATTTCATTTCCACCTTTCATTATTGATTAAGAATACAAGGCTGGTTTAATCTGAAAATTAAAGAATGTGTTGAAGGGTATATGGAAAAGTATACATTTCAGAACATTTCAGAAGCTTCTTAACTAGAAAATGAAATAACTTTAAAAAAAGAAAGAAGGTAAGAAAAGAGGGAAGAAGGAAAATACACAGGAAGGGTGAGTGCCAGTTTTATACCTTTTAAAGTACAGCATTTGATTATTAGAAATCTTTTGGAAATAGAAACAGTCATATGCCATTGATACTTTATCCTTCCTTTGCTCACTTTATTGTGAAGAACTCTCTATTATATCTCTTAGAAAGTTTTGTTTTGTTTTCTAATGGAACCTAATAGGTTTAAATGAAGTACTGTTATTAAAACTCAAACTGACACTTTCCACAAAGAAAACAATTTTGATTGGCATATTCAGAATGATTATCTATTGGATTAGTGGTCAAAAGAAATTAAATTTATTGAGCATTGCTATTGTATAGCTCATGATTTAATGAGCAACAAAAGGTATCTTTTTGATCTGTGTTTTGTGTTGTTAGAAACATGGTTAAGGAAGATTAACAAAGTAGATGTTGTCAGAAGCCATATTATAAGCACTTGGTGATCTATATAATATGTACTACCAGCAAGAAGTTCTGGTTGCGCAATGGTTAAGCACTCAACTGCTAGCTGAAAAGTAATTCTAACCTACTAGCCACTCTGTGGGAAAATGATGTGGCTGTCTACTTCTGTATAGATTTACAATCTTAAAACCCCTCTGGGGCAGTTCTACTTGGTCCTAAGGGTCACAATGAGTCAGCACTGACTTGAGGGCAATGGGTTTGATTTTTTAGGTGGGTACTACACTAAACGATGTAAGAAGTGAAGTTTCTCTTTTGCATTCACACATTATCAGTAACAGAGGGCAGGAGTACTGGTACTTCTGTAGTTCATGCTTTGGGTGTCTGGGACATTTGTGCTAGGAAACATACTCATTATCCAAACTGTAAGGTTTCTTTTTCATACAGGGCTCTTTAAAGGAAACGTTAAATTTCCTAGAGTAGCATGTAAACTTTAGTTTATAATTGAATGAAGTATTATGGAGAGAGGACATACTAGAATTTCTTAGTGGAAAAAGACTTTCTTTTCATTTAGTCTAATGTCTAAATCTTAACAGAGGATTAAATTAAAATATAAAGGAATCACATTACTATTTATGCACTAGAACCCACATCTGGCTGCAGTCATTATTATCCTTTCCATCTTACCAAAAAGGTACAGGAAAACCTTCCTTAGAATAGTAGTAATTGGTAGATCAACTCATCAGATAATCCACTAGATAGGCTTCTTTAGGCTCTCTAGGAATCCAGTTGTCATTTGTCAAGAGGAAATTATTTATAAATGAGGTTTTAGAATATAATCCAGTTGTTTGGTTATTTTATACTTTATACTAGAGGGAAAAGATCAACTTGAATCAACATAGTATAATGAAAGGAGCATCAAAAGACCTGGGTTCTCAGGCCAGCCTCCTACTAATGCTGCCTTAGCTACTTGTTAGCCTTAGTTTTCTCAGCTGTAAAATAAAGAGTTCATTAGACTGAATGGTTGTTATGGTCCCTCCCAATTATAACAATATGTGATTTTAACTAAAAACTGTGTGTTTCCACACAGGAAGTCTGCTCTGCCTAGTCTACTTAATATACAATATAGAGTGCCAAAGTTAGTATTCAAGTAGTTTTTAGGGTCTTGTTTACCATATTCTTCTTAGATAAGTTGATAGATATTGTTGTTAGGTGCCACCGAGTCGCTTTCAACTCATAGTGACCTTATGTACAACAGAACAAACACTGGCTGTTCCTGCACCATCCTCACAATCATTGCTAAGTTTGAATCCACTACTGCTGCCACTGTGCCAATCCATCTTCTTGGGGTCTTCCTCTGTTTCACTAACCCTCCACTTTACCTAGCATGATATCCTTCTCCAGAACTGGTTCCTCCTGATAATATGTCCACAATATGAAAGATACTTATCATCCTGATGACTTGAAAGCAGCATTCCGGTGGTACTTCTTCCAACACAGATTTATTTGTTCTCCTAGAAGGCTATGGGACTTTTCATATTCTTTTCCACCATAACACAAATGCATCAATTCTTCTAAAACCTTCCTTATTCATTGTCCAACTTTCACAGGTATATGAAGCTTTTGAAAATACCTTGGCTTGGGTCAGGTACCTCAGTCCTCAAACTAACATCTTTGCTCTTGAACCCATTAAAGAGGTCTTGTGCAGCAGATTTGCCTATTGCAATACATCGCTTGATTTCTTGACCACTGAATGGTTGAGCCTAATTAATTTATCATTGAATGTTGAATAAGTTCTAGTGGAATCTTATTTTCCATCCTTAAAAAAATACATTTATTCCCACATTCAAGTGACATGTTTGGAAAATGTATCACATATTCTTTGACCATACTTACTTACCACTTCTCACAATTTTATTCTGCCACCATACTTTTGTCTTACATGTTGTTGTTAAGTGCTGTCAAGTCACTAGAAAGTCTCTACGCCACTATTTAAAATACCATGATAGGAAATTAGGACTGCAGGTGAGTTAACCTCCTAGTAGCTGTGTTTATGACAGTGTGTCTGGGTTCTGAAGAGGACAACCCAAAACCAAACCATTGCTATTGAGTGATAGTGACCATAGAAAATAGAGTAGAACTCTGCCCCGTAGGGTATCCAACACTGTGATCTTTATGACATAAAGCAGACTTTCTTTCTCCCAAGGAGGACAACAGAAGCACATTGTTAGACTTTTGTATTGGAAATTGCTGAAGCATCCTACTCAGCCTGTAGGAGACTTGACATCTATTATGACTGAGGTCACAAGGGATATATCGCTAGTGCTACACATATGATGAATTGTGGGATCTGGGCTGGGACAATACAAGAGAGATGTAGTCTAAGGGGAATTTTATGAGACTGCTAAAATCATAGTTCAAAGATATAAATCTTAGAAATAGACATTATTAGCATAGTGATATGAATAATCTAAATATATTATTAAAAGTCAGACTCACTGCCATCAAGTTGTTTAACTCAGCAACCCTGTTTAGGGTTTCCGAGACCATAAATCTTGACAAGAACAGACAGCCTTGTCTTTGTCCCATGGAGCTGGTGGATTTGAACTGCCAGCCATGTAGTTAGCAGTCCAGTGCTTATCATAACTAAAGTGCCACACCAGGAATACAAATATATTCTTGGGTGTCCCAAATAACTTTTTCCCCTTATAATCAATACCCATTGAATCTT